AGAAGGGAGAAGCTGGTGGAGAAGGTGGTGGAGAAGGGAGAAGGTGGTGCCAGGGAGAAGGGCACCTCCCTGCCACCTTCTCCACCACCTCCTCCTTCTCCACCAGCTTCTCCCCTCCTCCTTCTCCACCAGCTTCTCCCCCTCCTCCACCACCTTCTCCCTTCTCCCCCTCCTCCTTCTCCACCAGCTTCTCCCCTCCTTCTCCACCGCGATTACATCTGATTGGTTATAACACAAACCACGTGAGAAAATATGCAAATTATCTCCTGTACCGGCCTGAATATAGACAAACCCGAGTGAATTAGACAACAGACACAGTATAGATAAAGTATGATAAGCTTCTATAATATAAACGATAAATACTAGTGAAATCAATACTATGATGCTTACTACAGACGGATATGGGGACCCAAGAATGACATGAGTGCAACACTATCCCTTGCACGCGTTTTTCAAAATTATCATATTTTTATTTAAAATTAATTCAAATTAATTCGCTGCATTCTGGACGCAAAAATACCGCAAAATGGGAGCCTTTCTTAAATGTAGGGCAATACTGATACAAGTCACATATACCCGTCACAGCACATTATGGGGGCATCCTACTGCTTTTTCTTTCAAATCAGATACACGGTAAATACCTTGTCACTGTACGTATGCAAGATGACTAGCACGGATCGGGTAAACGCTCCCGGTCCTTGTGTGATTGGCGTTTTCGCGATTCACAAAAAGGAAGAATTAATTAAGCCCAGGTCACCGATCAGCAATTAGATATAATCCCTCTCGTGGCACATCAAGACTGGGAATTTTCAGGTTCACTATTAGTGTTCCAGGTAAAAAAAATGTCACTTCCCCAGTTCTGAGTTAAATAAAATCGGAATTGGCAGTATTTTAAATATTTGAAATCTGAATTTAAAAGTGTCAGGTGTTACCCGGTACCTAGATCATTATAATGGTCCAAATCCGCGTCTCGAAAATAACTGCCCCGCAACGCTGGGTGCTTGATAGTGTGAAACATTGAAGGTAGGGAGCTAGTGATTTCACCATCTCTAACCATCACACATACATGTACGTACGATGGCCGTAGAGACGAGCTAGGAGACGTAGTAGTCTAGAGATATACTACAACAACAAATGAAAGTGTCAATGACACTGTAGCTCACCACACAAAAAAGACACAAATGAGTGAGTGAGAAGAAGTCAATTTTAATTGAGCAACCATCGACGTACATTATACAAACGAAGAGTATATATGGGAGAACTCCGTTAGTATCTTTTGATAATTATATGTGTAAATTTTTTATGTGAAATAATAATAAATTATATATAAATTATAAATAATTTATAAACCAAAATGAATCACAATTGTGTAGCGTGAGATGGCGCTTACCGCTTTGTTTCTTAGCATAATCATTATATCATAATAATAATAATATATAATAATAGTATAAATCATAATATGTTCGTAGCAGGAATTTGCATTAAGATATTGTCAATGAAATCTTGTAAAACGAACCAGACGAGTGTGACACCATAGACTGTCGGTTATCTGCGTGTCTATATAATATGCTATATAATTGGCCAAACCTACCTAATTTGCTTTTTTTTTAATATCAAAACCCTAGCCCTTATTCATTCACACTACAAAAATGAAGCAAAATCGCGTTGAACCTGAACTGACTAATGGCATTTCCATTTTTGGCAAAAGAATTGCCGTAGCTCGAAAGTACGTCGACTGGCGTGCTCCAAATATGGCGTTTAATATGGGAGCATAGCAGTAACACTATACCCAATTTCAAACATGTGGGTCAACGGTTCCTGAGTTATCGTTGACCATAGCCAATGTTGAGTACGGAGGAGCGGACGCGGCGGACGGACGACGGCACGGACGGACAGCCAGACGGACGGACGGAGGACGGACCGGACGGACGTACGACGGCGACGACCCATGGCAATAGCTCAGCTTGACGATGTCAAGGTGGCTAAAAACGTATAAATGTGAATTCCTCAGAAAATGGGTCATTACAGGGTAGTCAAAACCTTATCAGCAACACGTTAGCAAGAAATCGGTATTTAGCGTTCACACGAGGCAAAATGCGCGGTCAGGAAATACGGTATCTAAACAGATCCGGTATTTGATGTAAATACGCGTCGGTCCCAGACCCCATAATTTGCCGATGCTTGAGAATACCGGATCTCTTGGACGCGCATTTCTTCGTGTGAACGCTAAATACCGGCATTTCTGAAGCCGTGATATTTTATAGACTGGTCCCGCGCTCGACAGTTCCATGTAACAACGAGTGGAACTGTCGGAGCGCGGGACCAGTCTACGTATTTTATCGGCAGTTATTGTTTATTGTTTATTGTTATTTGTTGTTGGCATTGCATTGTTTATTTCGCATTGTTCGCTTGATTGTTTAAAGCAGCTCGCAGCTCGCAAATACCGTATTTCTGGAGCGCGAATCAGCCGTGTGAACGCTCGGCCGCGTATTTGTCTCAGATTCGGTATTTCGCAAATACTGTATTTCATAAATACGAGGTCTCGTGTGAACGAGGCTATTATATACAATTATACAATAAACAATATACAATACAATAAACAAATTATACAAACACGAGTTACAAACACAATACATACAATTATACAATAAACAATAATACACTGCAATAAACAAATTATACAAACGCAAAATACAAACCCCGCAGTCATGTTAATGTTAGCCATACAAAAGGGCTGCTGAAGATGTCGCATTCTACACGTACTGAGTTTAGGAAATACCGTCGTTGGCAAATAACTAAACACGGCATTATGTATGAAAATGCGAACCCAGATTATATACAGCTAAGGTTTTATCACGCATGATGTCCATCACGGATGAAAAGAGTAAAATTCACGACGCTCGCACAATCGCTGTTATTTTGAACGTGTATTAAATTTCGTTCATAAAAATTGCTTTATTCGTGTTGAGTTATTCGAATAACACATAACACATTTTATACTTAAATTAAATGTACAAAAAGCCGTTTTTTTGTTATATATATTTTAGTCACATTGAATAAGTAACGTCGACGAGATTCTGCGACATTCAATGTTTATCTCTTCAGGTGTTCGCATCGTTGATGCTGAATGTAATTTGTGAATCGTCAATAAACGCCACTATATACATGGGAGAACCACTATTCGCTCTTCTCATATTTATTTCACTCTCTTAACAAAAGGTACATTTCATCAGGAGATTTCATGTATATAACTATTAATAATGTCGTAAAAGCGGTAAACAGAAAACATGTACTGGGCCCCATGGCCCATGTCCTTGATACTATCAGCATAGTGCGCATTCATCCACTGCCGTTTGTCGTTGGACATTAAAGTTTGCAAAGGATACATGTGCTCACGACGACCCTACATCCGAGTGCGAGGAGATCAACCCGTTTATATAAAATTTATATAGATATGCCGCAATTATGCGTCATCTCAAAAACACTGGTGCCGAGGGGCATATTTCCTCTTTCCACTTCACCTTCATCCCCTCGACTTCAGTAGCAAGTATGAATGCCATCGTTTCCCTCTACGTACCGAATATGAACGCCGGAAATGAGGCCATTTAGATTTTAGCTGCTGTTGTTGGCAGACGTACGGAGTAGATGCTGTTATGCTGCCCGATGCGCCTGTCTCCCTCAAACGAGCTAGAGAAATTCCCAGGCACATTGAAAGAACGCATATATTATTAATCGGTATAGAGACGAAAATTGTTCGTTACGTACAAAATCTAAACAACAATGTTTTTCTTTCATTATGATATTACTGCACTTTATTTATTGTTGTTTTTACCGACAAGTTCAAACATATACAAGGGCTAGAAATGAATATTTTTCGCGACTGCCAGTCAGATGCCATTTTAAAAATATTTGAGAAGAAACTAACACACCTTTGATGAGAAATGGTAAGCAGATAATCTTTGGATCTCTGGATAAGCGGAAGAAATAACATATTCACTCGCCATGTTCCGTTTAGACACAATATACACAGTTTACCATTATACATACACAGATACATGCACGCACGCACGCCGCGCGCGCATACACACACGCACGCACGCCGCGCGCATACACACACGCACGTACGCCGCGCGCGCATACACACGCGCACGTCGCGCGCATACACACGCGCACGCACGCCGCGCGCATACACACACGCACGTACGCCGCGCGCGCATACACACACGCACGTACGCCGCGCGCATACACACGCGCACGTACGGCGCGCGCGCGCATACACACACGCACGCACGCCGCGCGCGCATACACACACACACACGCACGCACTCCGCGCGCATACACACACGCACGTACGCCTCGGGCGCATGCACACACGCACGTACGACTCGCGCGCATACACACGCGCACACACACACGCCGCGCGCACATACACACACGCACGCACGCCGCGCGCGCATACACACACACACGCACGCCGCGCGCGCATACACACACACACGCACGCACACACGCACGCCGCGCGCGCATACACACGAACACGCACTCACCCACGCGCACGCACACTATACTGATACACGTAACCCAGCAAAATGTGCTTTTACCTGAGCATGCGTGTATTGCATATTCTGGACTGATTTAGCGCCGATGGATTGAACATGAATTGGAATTAACAAGGAATACAATTTTTTTAGGCCCACGAGTAGGTGGCTATCATTAATATTAGTAAATGCCACAATGGCTGTAAATTTATGTATATCACCAGAGCATAATACCAAATTTGTGACAATGATAATTTGTTATTATCCACTATACACATGCACATACACATTCCAATTCAGTATACATATTTTAAATTTACCCCTATTAGAAATTATGATGCACTTACTAGAAGAATAAAATTGTATCGCATAGTGGGGATTCAGGTTTGATCTATTTCACTCTTTATGGTTTAAACAATTTTAGTACAGTACCAAAATCCATAGTACACGGCATGCTATCAGTCCAAAAAGTACCTATAGCCTGGCTACAGGGTAAAGTAATAACCCAAATCTAAAATGTTGATTAAACGAAATGTCAATAGGTGAGCTAAGCCTATGCACATTTATATGTTCTGATAATATTGCCAAAACACTCTGCAGGCAACCAAGTGTTTCTATATACACATTTGACAATTTGATATTCTTTATTTACAAACAGATGTTATTTAACAGATTCCAAGCTTATTGAATGTTGATTCGTGTGTGACATATTCACATAAACATGTCATCATCCCATCCGGGCATTCTCTCAATATCAGGGTGAACCCTAGAGTGAGAAAAACAATAACAAATTTGTTCACTCCCTATGATGTATTATAACAGGTTACACAGTAATTAACCCACACATTATCAAGTCAAAAATAATCGAACTCAATAATTAATAATTGTGTTGATTATTATTTATTTTAAAATAATACGCCACACTAGAAAAGTGAGGCGTTTGAAAAAAAAAACGTTAATAAACGCATAGTTCTAGAGTGCGAATCACATTGTTCTATTGACTTCCATTATATAATAGAGATGCATTCCTACAAAAGGGATTTCTGCCAAATAATATGGTAATTCCCTTGATCTCCCGTAATGCAAGCACAATTATAAATGCAAGGAAACATTACGGGACACGCATGCACACACGCACACATACATACATACATACACACATTTGTCATATAATTATGTAACACAGTAGAGAGAATTTTCGGGTAGAAAACCATGTTCATTTGTTTGAAAAACTATGTAACAACAAAGTCGCATATTTAAATAATATTGCATTTAAACAAATTCTATAAAAATTTGACTCTAGAATTCATGACTATGTACACGTTGAAGAGCCACTCAAGAATACATTTTGCCAATATGAAATACGATTCTGTCACATGTGTACATAAAGTCAAACATGAAGATATCAGTTAAGCAGCATCATGATAGATGACAGATTCACGTCAAAATCTGTCCCGAAGCTTACCTTCCTCGTCCCTGACCTCTCAGAGGGAAATCTCCTCTGTGGCCTCCTCCTACTCCTCCAAGATCTGGTACTGTTGGTGGACCAATCGGATCAAACCTCGCACCAGGTGGGACAGCTCCACTGTATTGCATTGAGAGATACTTGCACATTTCACGCTGTTATGACTTAGATTCTTGCTCGCACCCTAAAGCTATAATTCGTCTACTTCTCTACTGACAGGCTACATGGGTGAATCCAGACAGGATGGTACATGGGTTAAGATACCTTCCCCAATTAGAACAATATCCCTGCTTGTTGTCATATGATGTTGTTAAGTGCTGACTGAAGTACCAGACAAAAGTGTGAGGTGCATTATCCAAAACCACACAAAGAAGTGGGTTTTGCTTTAAATGTTATTTGGGAAAAAGGAGAATTGATGGAAAAGTTCAGTTTTTGTCACAGTAGCATTAACGTACAGTATAGTTAGTTAGTGAAATGCATTTCTATATTGGTTAATATTGCAAAAAAATAGATACAGAATAAGAAAAGTACATTAACATATTAACTCTATTTTTTCTCAAGAAATATCATGTTTAGAGCGACCGCATGGCGCATACACGTGCGCACATATCTGATTAATTTTCTTTTGAGGAAAATAATTCAGAAGGGGCACTGCCAATCGCATATAAGAACTCTAAATTTTACAAAAAAATTATACTCAATTTATTAAACAGATAAGTGTACCACTTCCTTCTACTGAATTTTGGATATGTTACTGTGTCTACTATGATCTACCTTCTTAAATAATTCCGAGATCCACATCCCTCAGTATTTAGGAGTGAAAAAAGCCAAGTAACTTACAATGGAAGCCGATCAGGTAGACCTGCACTAGGGTCTATACCGCCTCTTGGATGCCCTATCCGAAGGGGATCAGCAATCATTCCGCCAGCTCCCATTCCCCCAACTGCAGACAGAGGGTCAAGATCTGCTCTTCCATAGTCAAACATAGGGTCTTGTCTTGGAGTACTGAAAAATTCAAAATGGATATGATGCATGCATGATTTTTGTGGATTACGTGTTTTGACATGCTGACGACATTTTTAGCATGTACTGAAGTGTTCACGTTTACTCCCAGGTGGCATCATTGCACTTCACGACACCATCTTACCATGCTTGACCAACAAAAAATAAGATAATATAATTCATTTATCACCATCGCAGAGTGCGAAATTAACGGGAGTCTGGAGTCAAATACTGCCTGCTTTATTGTCGGACTCCCTGATTTGACATATGCAGGGGTCCGTGTGACTCCCTGAAAATTCGGTCATACTAACTAGTTCGTTCCGGAGCACGGCCTCGCGGAATTACTCTATTTTTTCAGCTAATGTCCAAAAAAAATTTGGCAGACTTGCAACTGCATGAATCTTAAAAATAAGCACATGCGTTATTGGTAATATCATTAATTTTGAACCTCAGACTGCCAACTCCCTCATTTTGCTGCGGACTCCCTCTTTTTGAGGGTTGGACTCCCTTGTTCAAAAGTTAATTTCTACCCCTGCCATTGACTCACAGGTCTGGTCCATTGCCAAGACCCAAGGGTTGGCGAGTTGGACGCTCATCCCTGGGTGGATTCTCCTGTACAAGCCCCTCATCAATTTTTCTGTGAGTCACACTAGCACCAGACGAGCGTGATGGCCTAGTCAACTCAGCAAGGATCTCACTGTGAAATCTAGACTTTAGCTCCTCCAGCTTTTTGTAGCAGCTGTAAAACATGAAGCGTAGAAGCATTCTATGATAGAAAGGCTTGCTTTATATCTTTTTTAATCGCCATATCGCTCATAAAAAAACCTATTTACTTACCGTACATTAGCTATGACTATAAGGACATGGTAAATACTAGAAGAGTAGAGTAATATTGCAACTACAACAGCCACAGAATGTGTTGTAGATTTGTTGTTTTATTAACATCTCATCTAGCAAATGCAAACCATTAAAGGCCAGTCGATAGCGACTAAATTATATTAAAGACATACTAGGCCCATTGATTATGTAATGTTGACGAATGCTAGAGTAACTGGCACCTTGTGTAGTTAATAAGTTGTGTAGTACATAACCTTACATCCAAACGCGTATTAGTTTGTCCAATATCACTGCTGGTTACTAAGAAATGTATAATTGAAATCCGCAGTCCAAGAAATCAGTTGTTTACAATTTCAAACCGCTGCCGGCGAAGCGGGTGTGATACAGATTTATAGTGCACCGAACATTTTTGCACGCATGCTCGGCCGTACGCAATACTATCAGTGATTTCGTAAACACGGACGCTCGTGATAAGAAACTTTTTGTCAGGGCTGTCCATGAGCGTCCGTGATTAGTACCTGTGTTTTACTCCATTTCCATGTTTAGTACGTGGCCGTGGTTACACCGCTGACACCTCCATTTCATCTGGCGTCCAAAACATACGGGCCGCACAAATGTTTACGTTATCGCTCGACTCCTGGATGACATTTACGGCACGTAAATGAATATCAACAACCGATTTCAAGTCTTGCTTGTAATGTAACTAGCGGTGATATTGGACAAACTAATACGTGTTTGGCTATAAGGTTATGTACTTATTAACTACACCAGGTGCCAGTTACTCTAGCATTCGTCAACATTGCATAATCAATGGGCCTAGTATGCCTTTAATGTAGACTTCATGGGTCAAAGATATTTAAATTCAGCATGTGAATCTGCCTAACCAGTAATGCATCTAGGAATTCCCAATTTTACCTGGCAAACTTTTCAGTGGTATCACCAATATACTTTCCTATGTCAATGTTCATAGTTGCAACTTTTTCATCTGTCTGCCTCTGAAAACGAAAACCAGTCAAATTTGTATCAAATAATTTATTACTAGATATGCAATACAACATAGAATAACTTTACTTAATTACTGATGCTATCCTCTAAGATGCATTAGATAACTGGGTTTATAGTTATTCAATTTTTCATGAATTACAAGAGGCTCAGTGGGAGTTTTTGTATCAGCATGGTCAAATTAAAAAATCTTCAAACGACGTCCTTTATAGAATACTATAGAACAAACAGGAAATGTTTCAAGGGCAGATCAACCACACTGGTACCCATGCTAGAAAAAAATCGACTGATCTGTATAAATAGATAAATATTATTACAGAATTATTTTAGACACAAGCTTCCAATATATTTCTCAATTTGCACTATTTTAGGCAGGAATAAAATTCGAGAATTTTATGATATATGGTATAATCTAGGTTTATATAAATTTAACTATCGCATACCATGAAATGAACAAACAACATGTCGTCCATTTTAATTACTTTCAGGAAATATCGACACCCATCAGTATACACATATCGCAGCTCGTATACATCTTGGTTTGAATTCCATCCTGGTGGTAGTCCCTCAGATGGTTCGTCCGATAAAGATGGCTTTAAAAGATGCACAAATATCAACTGACATTAACAAATTCTATACATATAACATTATTTATATTAATTACTTTAATAGAACTATATTTTTTAATACCAAACTGGTTCTCTGCTTGTATGTTGTTGACACAGCCCACCTACCAACATCACCTGAAAATCCTATACCTCAGCAAACAACTATATATATAGCATTGCAAATAGAACAATTTATTACATGAACTAGCCTGTAAATGCATTGCTGTAACTTAGCACATTTCTGTTTTAGTTTTTTTGCTATTTAATGTGATATTTGCTTTCAATTAACAGAACAATGTGCCAGGTTACAGGAAACATTATATAAAGTAAAAGTTGACCACCGATAATCTGGCACCATTGGGACCACAGTCATGCTGCACAGCAGTTTTTGCAGACAATCAGATGTTTATAGGCCGCGTTCCCACAGAGCGTTCGTCTCGGGTCGAAAAAGATCCGAGACTGACCCGGGTCAAAAACGACACGGAGCGTCGTTGAAGAGAGCGTTCACACGACGTTTGATCGATCAGTTCTTGGACATGTCTCTTCTTGGAATTCTTGGAAAATACAATGCGTCAAAGCAAACAATGCGAATTAAACAATCAAACTCTGGCCCTCGACACTGCCGCCGTACTCATTCTGACCCGAATCGTGTGCCGGAACGAATGAACCAGCGCTCGGGTCATTTTCGCACCAACTCAGGAGTGGGTACGAAAACGTCCGTGTGAACCAACGATAATATAGCGCTGTAAGCGCAAGATAGACCACTCTCCAATCACAGCCGTAATAGGTCATGGGTCAATACAAGCACCATTTTATTAAAGCAGGTTCACACTAAGTTCCCGGATGCTGCTGTATTTGCTGCTGTGCAACTGTCTGCTGTGTACCAATTCTTCATACCTTATTTCTTACTGCTGGGGGGAAGTGGAATTTAAAATAAAATAAAATAAAATAAAATGAATTGATAGAGCCAATATTTGCACTTTACAGTAAATTTGCACGTTTATGGTATCATCACACGTTAATACATGGAATGTAATGGCTCTTGGTCAAGAACTTGATGTTGTTATAGACATGGGAAAAGAATGATATAAACTATTGTTATAGTGAATCATTGACAATATATTGATTCATTGCACTAATATAATATTTCATGTCAACTCTTTATTATGACTAGATTCAGCACCATCAGAATACCAAATGCATCTTTGAAAAGTTAGCTTGTTTCATAATATTAAAAGAAGGAAAAATGTATGAGGTGGTATGGCATGTATTGCAATATAAAAAAGTTCTTATTTCTTATTGCTGGGGAGAAGTGGAATTTAAAAGAATAAAAAAATAACATAACAAGAAAAATGAAATGAAATGATAGAGCCTATATATATTTGCACTTTTATGGTATCATCACACGTACTCATATGCACGTACTGTTCCCCCCCCCCCAACACTGATTACACTGCGAGAGGCATATCAAACCATAGAAATAATATAGATAACCATATTTATATATATATATATATATATATATATATTATCAGGAGTAGATAATAGAAGACTTCTCCTGATAGATGTATTATAAACAACATGACATGTTATTAACAACATGAATTAGAGAGATACTCTCTTATACTCTCTTAAGAGAGATGATACTCTCTTATTCATGTTGTTTGTGCACGCAGCACAGCGCGGGCGGGCGTTCGGTGTACTTGTGTATTGCAGATGAGCATTTGACCAGTTTACAGGTGATTATGGCGAAATAGAGTAGAGAAACATTAAGATTTTGGTACATTTCGTGTTTATTTACCATTATTTTTTTTATTGAGACGTTCCAAGTCGGCAAGTGCCTGTGGTTAGGGTTAGGGTTAGGGAGTATGCGTAGGCAACTCCCTATAGACTCATTAGTGGAGTAGGCGAGGTACGGTCCGGCATATTAGATAGTACCAGGGTACGTTCCAGTATACCGGACCGTACCCAGGGTACGTTCCGGCAGTACTCTGGGGGACATAGAGACCCTCTCAGCCTAAGTAAGGTTATACTTTATGACTTAGGCCAGGGTTAGGGTTAGGGTTAGGGTTTTTGCATCATTCCTTGATATACAAAAAGTCTGTGCATCAGTAATCTGTGCATCACAGTCCCTTCGTGATACCTAAGGCTAAGGTGTCTAAAGTGGATTTGCACCCACTATAACACCCTACACTAGGCCTACAGGCTACAGCAAGCCATCAAATCAATAAATTAAATGATAATGATTCATATCAAGCTAATTCAACTTCAAACCACCAGAAAACTTTAAGTACTCAAAAGTTTTAAACATACACTTTCTCCAACTCCTACACATCGGAAACCATTGCATATTAGTTCCAGTGACAAAAGCATACTACAGGATCTTGCTTTGCCTTAAACTGTGGTTTGGCAGTTGTAAATAGCAACTCATGGCCTGGGGTAGCCATTGTGAACAACTCAGATGGGTCATAACGTCTTAGTTTGTATTTAGCTCAGTAATGAACACTAGGTGCCACAGCAGTAAGATAGTCAGTGGTGGTCAGTCTATTTGTTTGTGGTCTCTCGGCTAGCGTGATTTTTTTTGCCTAGGTCAATCAAGACACTAGGGCTGTAGTGAGGCTGCTATTGGTTGAGCTTGTTTCGTCACTCAATGACGTCACAGTATTGCCATATACATAGCACATTAAAATTTTAAGTTTATGTATGATTCATTAGGGTAGTGGTTAGAATGCCAGCGTCAAGGTATGAAAGGCGGTGGATCGAAATCCATCTCCGTTTTCTAATTATCTTTCCTGTTTCTGTATTTTCCCTATCTTTATTCGTTGATCATTTGTTTGCCGCATTAACGCAAATATTTACATGATTTATTTACAACATTTAATTACAACAATTATTTTTACAACAATAAAAATTAAATTTTTTTATAATATATTTTTAAATAGGATTTGGGTAGAGTTACAGTTAGGGTTAGGGTTAGGGTTAGGGTATAGGACTAGGATTAGTGGTTGGGGTTAGGGTTAGGGTTAGGGTCACATATGCAGTGAATGCACCATAAAACAGGGAGTTTGAGGCACCGTGATTTGTATCAAACCAATGGCAGCGCTCGCTAGAGCCTATGTGTCTGATTGACCTAGGAAAAAAATACACGCCTCTCGGCTACTTATTGCTGCTAGTGGTTCCTGTGTCGTTATATCATCGAAGCTACAAATGTCAAGAATTTCTGAGACATCCACGATACTATCATGCGATCGAAGCGCCGTGGTGATAGTTGATTCTGTGTTTTCCAACATGTCAGCCTCCATGAGTGCATGTCGGAAATACTTGTTTTCTTTACGCAAACGAACATATTGGAGTTTAAGCTTCCAGTAAGTCTGATAGCATCAATTTATGTACAAAAACATTTGGTTTTGGTGATGGTTTGGACTGGAGTCCAAGTTTCATGAATACATAATAAACACACAGTAGATATTTCTTATACGACTATTGATGATTGTCATTGTTCACTGGCAATGCTGCGCAGATAAGATTGGCAACACAGCACTGTGAAGCGTAATCAACTGTAAACATACCGCGGCGCCATTTGCGCGTACACATACACATAAATATATAATATATTTTATGTGTATGTGTACGCGCAATGGCGGCCGCGTATGTTTACAGTTGATACGCTTCAAGTGCCTGTGATTGGCATGATTCGTTGTCATACTGGCACTGCACTGGCATTGAGTGGCATTGATACTGATGCTCATAGTCATAGGGTCTATATCCCCCAGGGTACTGCCGGAACGTACCCTGGTAACTACGGTATCTGATATGGTTAGGGTTAGGGTTAGGGTTAGCCTTTACTCTTTAGGGTTAGGGAGCAGGCGTAGGAGACCCCTAGACTCGTTAGTGGAGTAGGCGAGGTACGGTCCGGCATATAGATAGTACCAGGGTACGTTCCGGTATACCCTGGGGGACATAGACCCTCTCAGCGATACTGATACTACATCTGATCTGATAGTTACATAGCAGTAGTGCTCATAGGGTCTATGTCCTCCAGGTTACTGCCGGAACGTACCCTGGTCACTATTTGATATGGTTAGGGTTAAGGTTAGGGTTAGGGTTAGGGAGTAGGAGTAGGCGTAGGCGACTCCCTAGACTCGTTAGTGGAGTAGGCGAGGTACGGTCGGCATATTAGATAGTACCAGGGTACGTTCCGGTATACCGGACCGTACCCAGGGTACGTTCCGGCAGTACCCCGGGGGACATAGACCCTCTCAGCAGCAGTAGTACTGGCGTTAGTATTAGTGTTAACCTGAATAATAGTAATACTGGCATTGATACTGTCATTATTACTGCCCTGTCTAATCTGACCCTATATTCTAGAATAGTATCAGATTATAAATATTTCTAGAGCACAATTTACTAATTGTTTATTATATTTTTAGTACACCACACTGGCACACGAGCAACATACAATGTGTAGTTGTACTAGCAGAGACCTGCCTGGCACAGTATTGACCACGTCTCAATGTGTGATTTATTTAACATAACTTAATCTGGCGTTTTTATCAGATGTTATATTTGCACGCATCCATTTTCCAGGAATTTGTGTTTAAGTGTAATACCGGGAACACACATAAGCACACACCCATAACTGGCATAAAGCCCATACATCACACAGCCTATAGTATTTAGTGAATGCATGTTTTAACATTTAAAAATGGGTTCGGTGTCCCTGGTAACACTATATTATATATAGCCAATTATTGTTTAAAGGGATCGATCCTCCTTTTTCACACTTTGAAATCCCCAAGTCATGTATCATTCTCCTGGCCTCATGACCTATATACCTATACATGGGTGCATTAGTCACTCTAGTCCAGGACAGTGTTGGCAAACAGCTCTGCAAACAAGCATTTGGAAACTGCTAGATTTAAAGAAAACTTGTAACCTGGATTAGATAACTGTTAATTTGCCTGCAAGTTATATTATTAGTTCATGCAGGAGCACAGACACATACTTGGCAGATACAGTCCCCTCACTGGAAATAAGAGCTAGGCAGAACAGTCCACATGTTTTAACATATAGATGTTCTCATACTTGTTACACAATTTATACATGCGCATACTTGTTACACAATTAAATTAATTACTATATATCTTGGTTTATACTGCTTCAGTTCTATTTTCTTAATAGTGTATATATGTTTTTTAGTTACAGTAGTTGCTACAACAACAATTTTGTGCAAACTTGCTACATCTACATCTACATCTGCATCTATTGCTAATGTAATAAATTAATGCACACTTTGTTTTAGGAGTTAAAGACGTTGGCAAAGTTGAGCAGTGTTCCGCTGACACTAAATGAAAATTCTCATGATAAAAAGGTAACTAATTCAACGAATATATATTCTTATATACCTTCTGGCATGGAAATACCATTAATTGAATGTGAACGAAAATGAAACTCGCACATCATTCTATTCCTCAATATGTGCAGTGATCTGCATTTCTAATTAGATTTGATTACACATGTCAACAAAACTAGTGTGTGAATTTTTAGCTCAGCTGACGAAGGCAGATGCAGCTTGTAGAATCGCATGAATGTCTCTCCGTCCGTCCGTCCGTGCGTCCGTGCGTCAACAATTACGGCACAAATCTTAACCGCGCGACGTACGATCTTGATATTTGGGACGTCGGGGGGGGATCGCGTAAAGGACTCGCGATGTCGAATTTGGGGGTTAAGGGTCAAAAGTCAAGATGTGTCAATGGAGGGGGAATATTTCCCCCTTAACTTAAGGTATAGGAGGAAATACGGAATTGCGGCACACATCTCAGGTCACAGGTCAAAGGGCAGTGGGGAAAGGTCAGATATCAGACATTTTCTGAGGACATGGTCTAATGGACCGAGTGCAATACTTTTTTGTATCAGCGCTGACCTACCATTTTTATCACTTTATTTAAAGGACCGTGAAATCTACTTTCCGCTGACGTGCGAAGAGTAAGTGTCTGATAACCTTTTGACCCTCCAAGAGGAGGGTTAAACATGGATTTGTTGACTGTTAACAAAGGAATGAACTGCTTTTGCTATTAGAAGCCGCCTCCACCCGCCCCTTCCCCCTACCCTCCACCCCCACCCTCCCCCCACCACCACCACTACGCTCGCGCTCGACGCATATCCATTCATGATAACATTAATATAGCTATGTCATTAAAGTTACAGAGCTATATATTTATTACTGTACTACCGGTATAGCAAAGCCTATCAACCCGGTGGCGGGAGGGCGCACTTGATTCGGTTGCCAGTAAGTTTATCAGAAGAATACCCGGCTACAGTACACGTCAGTTGAGCGCTGTCGCTCTGCGGCACTTGTTTTTTTATTTGCTCTCACGAGGTGCCATTGGCCAGACCCTGTTTCTACGCTAGGTTAATAATACCATTTCAAAATTCCATTATCTCGAATCTTAAGATAGCGGGTGCATGTTTGCCGATCATTTACTGTTTTGTAGCCTATAACAGCACAAACTCATACTAATTTTTATGCTAAAGTAATCAGTAATAAGTATGATGACAATTAAGTGAGACTAAATTTGTCTTAATTTATTAATATCTTGATTTATTTGTGAGATGATTCTTTTATTATGCAGCAATGGGATTTGTAATACATTTACCTATTAACCTGTTTCAGAATCCATTTTTGGTGCTTGACTTGCAAAGTGAAGATGATGCAAAAAGGCTGATGAAAAGAACCGTACTAATGCGATCCATGTACGAGCTGTGGGCATCTGCGAAAACTCATGACGATCTGTATAGCCAGCTAGCAAAGTGTCCCCATCATCTTAAGGTGGAAGATTTATATATGTTGTTCAATCTATATGATTTTATTTCGTTTGCTGAGCGTATAGTAGTTGTCTGACAGACAAGGAATCTAGAATATATAGGAGTGTGGCTCATTGATGTGCAGTAGAATCAGATATTAGATTTTACAAATTTTAGTCGGAAAACATTGATTATGCAAACTGGCTTATAGAGAAGTGCATATATATATATTAGCAGAATATGTTGCTATCTTTATTAAATACATTTTTGCTTACCTTTCCAGCTAATGTTGTCCCAGAATTTATATAATGGCCAAATATTACTAATATCATTTAATTGTTGTTTGACTAATGTATATTGAATTTATCCAGGCACAATACGTGCAAAGGCCAGATGGCACATTTCGTGTAAAGGTGGATGCATTTGGAAAGAAACTGCAAGATCCAGATAGGCAAGACAGATTAGATGTACGTTTACAACATAATACTGGGTATAAACTAGGGCCAGTCTGTATTTTTGTTTTAATATTAATAAACAAACCTCTGTTAATATATTAATAAATTTACTTACATAAAAGTACATTAGTTATTAAAAAAATATTATATAATAATAATAGCAATAATAATATTATAATGATTTTAATTCATTTTGATATATCCTTCAATATATTACAGAAAATACTTGGCATATTGCCATTTGAGGGCAAAGTAAAACTAAATAATCCAGATCAGAGTTTTCATCTGTTGGAGTTATATGGACAAGCAGGAAGCAAGACACCTGATAAGCCTCTCAGAGTATACTTTGGCAGATGGGTGTGTACCTGATGGTTTTGTTAAGGAAGAACATTTAATTATTATAATGAGCTATTCTCCGAAATACGCACGCACGACACACACACTCCGATATGCACGCACGCACGCACGCACGACGCACACACAGACACACACACACACACACACACACACACACACACACACAGATATATACATATGTATATTTCACCGATGTACTTCACACGATTTTGCACTTACTTGCTTCAAATTATGTGCATTGTTCTAAGGATAATGTAGGAGCAGTTGAAATAGGTATGTCGGCATGGAAAATAATTATTCTGTGTAGCTATCTTGTTTGATCTATTTCAAAAGTGGTTTGCATTCATTCTTAGCAGTACCTATTCTACCATCTATCTATCGTGTGACACATAATTTATGTCAGTAATACAGCATTAATGGTAAGCGTTCATGCTTTACAAGGTAGAATTTATTTGTAGCTGATGGATGGACAGCGGGACCAGATCCGACACTATCATCTGCAGAAGCGGCAGTACATTGGCAACACCTCCATGGACTCGTGTCTGTCTCTACTTATGGCAAATCAGGCTATGGTGACCGAAAATGCTCTTGTCTGTGATCCATTCGTTGGTACAGGTAATATTTTACCATCGGCATTAGTTGTCCAACAAATTATTTATATATTAATGCCTGCTGTTGGGGGCACTATGCTCTCATAGTGTTGCTGAGGGAAGGAATAGTGCCCGAGCGGTAGGAGGGCACTATTCCTTCCAAGCAAACTACTATGAGAGAATAGGCCCAGCACAGGCAGGCATTAATGTGTTTTTAGTGCAGTCACATAAGATCTTATGCAATCTTACTTTCATGCGTATATACGCTTTTTTATACTAGCCCTCAATTTGCGCGGTGCATTCGATGTAACTAAAACGCTCGACACAAACGTCCGATGAAGAGGCGGGGAAGAAGTCTTGGATTCTGAAACGAATGGTTGTGTGCGGTTTGCGAGCAGGTGGACAATCGCACATTAATTCCAAAATCTGCGTGGCGCCCAGACGCGAGGAGATTCCGTGACGTAAACACAATGCGTTATAATAACACATGCGTCGCGCTAAGCGATAGTGCCACTCTTCAATATGCTGCTCGTTATCCAATGAGATTGGCAGCAATTCATACGTCATGCACTAAATGGTATTATATTAACTAGAGGTAATTATAAAGAGTTTAAAGAAATTACATTCTAGAGTCATGTTGTGCTGTGCAAGGTGAGGAACTGAAGTATTAAATTTAATTTTTCCAACATAAATAGTTATATAGTCGTGTATAATAATTATGTAGAAAATGTTCATTTGTTGTAATAAACATAGTGTATAAATCAATATATATATATATATATATATATATATATATATATATATATATGCTAATTAAATATAGCAATCCATTGTTATAAAAAATTGTCTAAAGAATTGTTACTGGAAAATGGTGCTTTGTACATGGGCAGTTTGCATGTCTGAATATCTATATTCAATCTTGATATTGTGGAACGTTGCTGTTGGTTACAGGTAGTCTACTAGTTGCTGCAGCTGGTTGTGGAGCATATGTAACAGGCACGGATATAGATTATAATGTCTTACATGGAAAAGGTAAACAAAATATAATTGAGCCGATACTGTATGAGAGTATATAGGTATGTTGCATCTGGCATTGATTTATGGGCTTCATAACACAAGTTGCAGTTGCTACCTTATGAAGCCCTTCAGATCAGTTGCTGGCACAATGTCTGCTGTCCCAATTTTGACTAGCTTTGCAGTTATCACTCCCTTTTTTCACACAAAATAAAGTGAGCTTCACACTTGTCATCAATAAAGGATAATGTCATGATTGTGATTAAGCATTTTGGTTTTCAGCCACATTAAAAACAAACTTGTTTGGTCTTGTTAGAAATCAATTGCATGGCTCGTGTTGGCATAGAAGACATTCACACCATAATACATTCATTAGAATGTTATTTTCACATAAAGGTAAATCTAGTCGTTATAACCAAATATGGAAAGGACCGGATGAGAACATCAGGTCAAACCTGCGGCAGTATGGGCTTGAACACTGCTACCTCGACGTTATGCAGGCAGATTTCTCTAAGTGTATCTGGCGAGAACAGCCTTTGTTCGATGCAATCATCACTGATCGTAGGTTTTTACGACATTATGCTTTCTTGTTTTTTTCAGTTTGTGTGGAAATTTGTGGGGTGGTAGTATTAGTGTGTGTGTGAAAGTGATGTAGCAGTTTCAGCATAGGTGGATCTTTGGAAGTTAAATGTATTGCCATAATTGTGACCCGCTCCTGCAAAACCAGGATTAGGTAGGAAATTCTACAAATTGAGTTATGTGCATATCTGAATAGATCATTTAATTACCTTTAAAATGATATATAATATTTGGCTATATCTAAAGAATTGACTGATCTACAGCAATTTGAAGATCGGAAACCGACTTATTCCGGAATATGCAGCTTTTGAGATAAAGCGTTCCGGGTAAGGGTTCCAGTCGGGGATGAGCAATCAGGGGCCCTTTTTTTTTAAATTAAAAATGACCATAATAATCTAGAGATATCTGAACCTATATATCCGGATTAAATATGCACTTAGGAACTTATTTTTGTCCAGGTAGGCCATTTTCAGCATTGACATGTGTGCGTGCTCATTACTCAAAACAATGACTTGCGACTTATTCCGTATTATGCTGGAGCGGGTCACAATTATACTTCTGTATATTTGATTGTTTAATTTGTAAAGATCATTAAAATATGGAAAAGCTATCACTCATGAGACAGTATGTTAAAAGTAGAGATTATTATTTTACAGCTTTGCATTAGGCTATCTGGCATGGTCAGATGGAGCTATTAGAATCAATGGTATGATTTCTCAAACGTTTACTTTAGTTTTATATATGCAGGATCTTTTATTTTCTCAATAGCTCCTTATGGAATTAGAGAGTCAACAAGAAAGATTGGATCTGATAAAAATAACCTTGTCAACCATGAGCAGTAAGTGCAACTATTTAAATTTGTCCAATTTTTTTCAGTTGAACAATGATTTACGCATGGAGCTGCAAACATAAGTTCATATAATTATTGATATAAGTACTTAAAATCGTTGCAGACTTGTGAGACTTGTGTGCAGATAATTTCTTTAGAAAACCACTATGTAATTGTATTGGAAATAGCATACAGAAAATGTTCTTCATACTCAGTTTACAGAACCACGTGCCTTCATGTACAAAATATGGCTTGACAGACATATTTAGAGATCTTCTCAACTTTGCTGCAAAATTTCTCAAGAAAGGAGGGAAACTTGTGTACTGGTTGCCAGTCTATACACCAGAGTAAGGTCTACGTCAAACAATTCCTACATTTTTTATCGATAAACATTGGTATGAAGGTTCATACTTCAAAAATGGATTACATCATTATTAGAGCGTTCATATAGATCAGAAGTAGATAATAGGGATTCTACTTCTATCAGCATTTCACCGTTGTACGCTCTCATTCTTAATACGCTCTTGATATTACTGATAAATATTATACAAGTGTATCAATAAAATGTTAATATTTGGCATGAGATTATATTATCACTAGGCACTTGAAACCCCTAATTCTGCATGTTCAATTTTTTTGCTATTTGAATTCTAGGTACACTGTAGACAACATACCACAGCACCCTTGCTTAGAGCTAGTAGCAAATAGTGAGCAACCATTGAGTGTTCATGTCAGCAGACGACTTATCACTATGAGAAAGCATCTGGATTATGAGGTATAATCTTAATTAGTATGCTTCTATTAGTTTTATAATATTTACAGATTTTTCAATATGAAAAATGAAATATTTAAAACTAGATTTGAGCAGTTTCAATTCTATTTGACAATATAATGTGATAAAATGGGCTGGTCAGCTACGATTTGGTGATGATAGAAACCGATGTACATTTATTGTATGCAAGTCTTTGGTCAGTCAATTATTATTGTTTTATTTTTAATGATAATAAGGATGAATGAAGGAAATATTTGAATGAAGTAATCTAAAAGCAAAATAAGTATTTTTTTAATGTACTTTTTTATAAATGCAATTTATGTCTAGTGGAGGTTGGAAAAGTTATTTCCACACCGGGAATCGAACCCGGGCTGCGGTGGAGAGTTCCTAACCACTGGAAAAAATTTGAGTTAATCTAAAGCAAAATAAGAATTGTGTGATGTACTTTTTTTTATAAATGTAATTCATGTCTAGTGTAGGTAGAAAAAAACATGTTCCCACACCGGGAATCGAACCCGGGCCGCGGCGGTGAGAGCGCCGAATCCTAACCACTAGACCATATGGGAATTGCGTTAGTTTGTTGTCTTTGATCCCCAGAAGTAGTGATTTTTCCTTGAGCGTGTGCGTCATCTGTCGATTGTGTTAATGTGTTATGAATGTTGTGTCGCGTAACAGCAGCGCACGTATGTATACCACGCACGCACGCACGCACGCACGCACGCACGCACGCACGCACGCACGCACGCACGCACGCACGCACGCACACATAATATATATACATTATGTATATATATAGTTATATCCATCAATCGCCCCAACTCGCTCATTGAAATACGTAGAAGCTTATTGCATCATTTCTGTTCACATCAGTTCATCTTAATCGTAGTTTAGTGCGGTTGTCGCGCGTACATCTACATATTATAACACATTCCCTAGAATGTTAGCACCACCGCGTTACAGAACGGGCTAACCTATCGAGTGTATCTCACTCTCACAACTGGCTCCGCTGCTATATATACGCACTCGGATCAAGTCTGAAGCTCATTCCTGGAGATCAGTGATCGGGAGGTTTGGCTTCCCTTCTTCGTTCATGATAACGGAAGGCTGTGCAGACACGTGCGTTGCAGACTGATGGTTGCTTGTGCGAGCGGAGTGAGTGACAGCGTCGTTATATATAATCATCAGCTGTCAGTGATTGATTAATCGCTAATTCTCCTCATCATCATCTAAGACTCATACTCAGACGTTATTGTTTCAACATGCTGTGCGCCACACGCGTGTTTCCTCTCTTGCTCTATCTCCCTCAATTTCTCTCTCTCTCTCTCTCTCTTTGTGTCTCTCCCTCTTTCTTTCTCTTTCTGTCTCTCCCCCCCTCTCTCTCTCTCTCTCTCTGTGTCTCTTCCTCTTTTTTCTCTTTCTGTAGCTCTCTTTCTGTCTCTCCCCCCCTCTTTTTCGATCTCTCTGCGAATCGTCGCGTTCGTGGAACACATCTTCGGCAATTGGCTTCAGCTGCTTTCATGCACCTTTCCCCCTCTCTCCCTCTCCCTTTCTCCTTCCCTCCCCCACCTCTGTCCTGCGCTCTGCGTTTATAGACTGTCGCCAACAGCTCTTTCTCGCATCGTTCGTCCTCCGGCGACGACTCACGGCGACCGTCTGGCGAATTATCTTTCGGAAGCGAGCAATGTATACGCGAGGTGGAAT